TTTAGAAGCGACATATATTATTTTGTAACCCTCGTAATGCTTTTACAGAACTTAGGCCAACTAAAGACGAAATAAATACAAAAGCTTATCTAAATTAGCAGCGTTTATCAGAATCATCATCGGTGTATATCGTATTATATCAATATAAAAAAGGAAAAGGTCTTAAATATAAAGCAATTGTTTTTACTTCGATTAGAGTAGAGTGCATTAATTGAATTTCCGGTTTGGGATCCCCTTGGCGGAAAAATTAATAGCTTCCCTAGCGTATGTACCCTGTGCATGCCTAGTGCATACATGCTGAAAGAAGAAATTTTATTACATTGACCGTTTATACAAAAAAAATATATATATATATATTTAAAGTATTTTAAAACACGAATATGTCTGCTTGTGCAACGGTGCGACCACGTGTAAAAATTATTATCTACATATCTAAATTATGTACCCCCAGCATGATGACAGGCAAATTCATAAATCCCTACTGTATACATGCTGAAAGAACAGGTTTTAATATAAAATATCAAATATATTTAAAGCACTTTGACACCCGAAATTGTTGACTTGCGGAACGGTGCGGCCGTGTGTAGTACGTCACAGTAAGCAGTGTCCCGGAGCATTAACTTACAATAGAGGTGGACGTTCTATTCATCGTCGCACCACCACAATGCGCCATGATCGCTCCGATCGCTACTATCGGCAGGCTGGAGACGGCGCGTGATTCGAATGCGGATCGTATGGAAATCGCCGGGATTATTCCGCTTCTTATCCCGGACACTCCCTTCCTGATACGAAAGGCTCCCGGGACTAGAACGGACGCCGCGCCGAACCGGACCCCGATGAAACTTTTATCGGCGGTCGCGATCTTTCGGTATTCCGTTCAGTTTATTTATTTATTAGTTTTCTCATGGTTCGCCAACATTGAGCAAACAAATTTATTATAAAAGTTAAAAAACCAGTAAACGTTCCTACGATTACATGTGAACTTATATCCTAAATTTAACAATTTACAATACATAACCTTTTTAGTATTGGAAATCATTCGAGATTAGTCTCAAATGCAAACACAGCAAATAAATTCGCATTAAAACCATCATCACATAATTCTAGCGCACACTTCGCGAACTATAGAAAAAAAGTAAAGAGAACTATAAACCAGATTCGAAACCATACGTCAGTCATACCTTGTCGTTTCAATTAAAATGATTCAATGATATATTTTATAAGAGAATGTCACGTACGATTTAAAGAAATAAAGATGATATGTCAATAACGAAAATTTGTGAAAAAATTTTATTTATCAAGTATTAATCCGAACAATTTTCCTGTCATATTAATAGCTGCTAACATACATGTATTTGAATTTTAGCGTCATAAAAGCTCCCATGAACTTAAAAATCCACCTCTTGCCCACTAATCGTTTCATAAACATTCTAATGATATTGACAGTCTGACAATAATTACAGTCCGATTGGCGTAGTGAACTTGGTTCTTGCGCCAGAGAGTTTGGGATCGATCTCCGCTACTGGAAAAATATTTTATAATTACATATGGATTGGAATAAATAACTTAACTAGGTTTTATGCCTAAAATTTAACAGAACTCGACTAATTACTCTTTGATATCATTATTGTAAGGAATTAAATTTATCTGCAGCCGAGTTTTTTTTTTTTCGGATAATGGAGTCTTAAACTGCGATATGAATTTGAAAGCTTACAAACCTTCCAAGAACCATTGACTGACAACCACTCCCAATTTTCGGATCTAATTTCAGTACACTGCTGTAATAAATCGATGTGACAGCCCTACCGCAGACACGGCATAAAATCTTAATTGACGAATCTTAATTGAAAGGGTATGTCTAGATTTTACTTCTATCGTATACTCTGTACCGGTGGATGCAAATGATAAAGTATTGTTCTTTGTGGCATTCTAAGGTGGAGGCTTATGTTCAATAGTGGACGTCTTACGGCTGACGATGTTGATGATGATGATATTCTTTGTAGCATTATTTAAAAACAAAGAACCAATGACTACCTGGTATAAAACAAAATCGTCCCGCTGTCTGTCTTTTTTTATGCGAAAAGTTGCCATGCGAGCAGGCGGTTCCTGATGTTAAGTGAATACCGCCGCCCATGGACGTCTGCTACATCCAAGCTTTGCAGATACGTTGACAACCTTTTGAAAATTGGGCTCCGGCTACCTCACTCAACAGAGGACGCGAAAGTATTTATACTTCCACTTTACGCCGGTCTTCTGTGAGGTCATGATACTTACCCGGCCGAGCCTGCCCATTCCTGCAACAGCCGAGGCTGCTGAGTGGCCCTACCACAGTTAAAGCTGTCTGTCCCTATGTATGCTTAGATCTTGAAAACTAGGCAACGGATCTTTATGCGGTTTTTTTACTAGATAGAGTGATTCAAGAGGAAGGTTTCCATGTATAGTACATTGCATCAATGACTGTTAAATAACTTGAGCGATTGTTGATAGTTCCTACGTTGTGGTGATAATTCAACACAGCAACGCGCTCGCAACCGAAAAACGAAACAACGAATAGAGTGATAAACAATCGGCGATAGGGCGAGCTACGGCGCTATATTAACGGGCGATGCGCCCAAGCATTTGTCAAAGGGGAACACAATAACTATAATGGATAACCGATAGTTTGCTGCTTAGTTAGGCGTAACGACCAAACGTAGTGTGCATGGAACTAGGCGAGTGGTACACGGAGAGGAGAAGGGAGCTTCATTTAGAAACCGAAAATGAAGATTCATTCACATGGAAAATCGAAACTCAATATATAATTCTGAATAAAAAGTCTTCGATTCTTGATTAAGAAAACTAAAGTAAGTAACAACCTACGTATGGCCCACTGCTGGACAAAGGCCTCCTTTAAACAGAGACAATGAAGGAGTATACGCACGTTCCCACAGCGGATTTACAGTATGCACATATGCACTTTGAATTTTTTTTTGTATTTTTTTCACAAATATGCAGGTTTCTTCACCTTTTTTTCCTTCTCAACCGTAGGCCTGTTTAACCAAATAATTAAACGAAAAACTACACAGCCCGTTAATATTTTTTTTCAACCGTTTCAAAATGCATAAATGCAAATTAACTGTTGGAGACAGAGCCCTATTTCATATCGAAAATCATTCGTTTAAAATGCATTATTGACACAATTCTTGCAGGATGGTCTTGGTGTTTAGAGCCCACCGATAAGTAAGAGGCCTATAAAATTGGACATGCCCTTTAACACGTTTTCATTTCACAGCATCAATGTAACCCGTGAGTAACGACCCAAGAGCAAAGCTTATCCGATACTATTCCGAGAATATCCCGGACGTCAGTCTGAGCGAGATTAGAATGGCTCTTGACCATCTTAAGAATGGCAAGGCATCGGGAAGAGGACGGAATTAAAGAGCTTCTGAAAGCGGGTGGAGAACCGGTACTTGTGGTCCTTCAGAGGCTCTTTAATTCCGTCCTTCAGGGTGGTGCTACACCAGAGGCGTGGAGCAGAAGTGTGGTGGTGCTGTTCTTCAAGAAAGGCGATAACGCTCTCTTGAAGAACTATAGACCGATATCCCTTCTGAGCCGCGTCTATGTGCTGTTCTCAAGAGTCATCTTGAATCGTCTCGCTTCCAGACTCGACGACTTCCAGCCTCCCGAACAAGCCGGATTCCGAAAAGGCTTCAGTACCATAGACCACATACATACCTTGCGGCAGATTATACAGAAGACCGAAGAGTATAATCTGCCTTTGTGCCTAGCGTATGTGGACTATGAGAAAGCCTTCGATTCTGTCGAAATTTGGGCGGTACTCCGGGCTCTTCAGCGGTGCCAAATTGACTGTCGGTATATCGAAGTGCTGCAGTGTTTGTATAACAAGGCTACGATGTCCGTCCAAGTACAGTCCAGTAGTACAAAACCTATCCAATGGCAGAAGGGTGTAAGACAGGGTGATGTCATATCCCCGAAACTCTTCACCACTGCGTTGGAAGATGTTTTGAAGCTTCTGGACTGGAAAGGACGAGGTATTAACATCAATGGCGAATACATCACCCACCTTCGATTTGCCGACGATATAGTCATCATGGCAGAATCGCTGGAGGACCTGGGCCTCAATGACCTCAACAGTGTCTCCCAACGGGTGGGCCTTAAGATGAACATGAACAAGACGAAGATCATGTCTAATGTCCATGTCACGCCTATACCGGTTGTTGTTGGGAGCACTGAGCTCGAAGTTGTTGACGAGTACGTTTACCTAGGACAGTTAGTCCGGCTAGGTAAGTCCAACTTCGACGCAGAGGTCAATCGGCGAATCCAACTCGGATGGGCAGCGTTCGGGAAACTTCGGCAAATATTCTCGTCGAATATACCTCAATGTTTGAAGACGATGATGACCTACGGAACCGAGACGTGGTCCTTCACTGCTGGCCGTATGAGGAAGCTCAAAGTCGCTCAGCGAGCTATGGAGCGGGCTATGCTCGGTATTTCTCTGCGTGATAGAGTTCGTAACGAAGACATCCGCAGTAGAACTAAGGTGACCGACATAGCTCAGAGGATTAGCAAGCTAAAGTGGCGATGGGCCGGCCATATAGTTCGTAGAACCGATAACCGTTGGGGAAGAAAGGTTCTCGAGTGGCAGCCTATTACTGGCCATCGCAGTGTAGGACGACCCCCCACTAGATGGAGTGACGACCTGTGCAAATGTGCGGGAAGTCGATGGATGCAGGTGGCTCAGGATCGTGCTTCATGGCAGTCTGGGGGGAGGCCTATGTTCAGCAGTGGACTCAAACAGGCTGAAATGATGATGATGATGAATGTTGAATCAAGGGTCTGCTTATTCTTAAACATGTATCCAACTCGTTTCTTTCAATCCCTAAACAAGTACGGCATCTGGTCTGCTTCACGGTCCATCAGTTATGAACACTGCAAACGACCAGTTTCTCACCAATTTGATAAAAAAGCTTGTTTGCACGAGTGTACCTCTCTGATGACTAGCGACGCGTCCAATCTATCACGCCCATTACCGGCGCTATAAGCCAACTGGCGGACTGAAGGTCGCGGACCATCGCGTGCACAAGTCCATTAGCGGGTGCGCGTAAAACGCGCCCGGTGTCCCTCCGGGCCCTGTAAGAGCGTGAGCGCAATACAAATGCGCGACAGCGGGGGGCATGCGACCGAAACGCGCATTGTTGCTCGTTACCGGGGCCCCGACAAATCGCCGTGACCCGCCCCGTCGCGAGGGCCGACGATTTGCAATAGGCCCAAGCGGCGATTCCTAAGCCCGTCGCTGAATGTCCGTCGCTTAATTGTGCGCCGAAGCATTTGTCTGGACGCCTTTGTGACCTTTGCTTTGGTCGTTAGGGAAGCTTAAGAACTTTGATAGGACGTGCTTTTATTTCAGCATCTCTGTAGTGTGGTTTGGTACATTATAAATGTGTTAGAACATAGGCCATCGCCGAACTCCACTGCCAATTAGCTTCAACTTCACATGTCTTCAATTGAAGCAGCATCATTTTTTTTTATTTCTTCGATGTGCAGTATTCCTCATCAAGTTTTACTTTACAACAGAACACACGTTAAATCAGTACATTAAATTGCAATTCACAACTTCTTTATTCCAGATAAGATAGGTCGATTCACATTAAACAGTGATTTTCGGATACATATTATGGTATTTTCCACAGATCGTTGCCGCAAGAGAACAGATTCTTTTTCCCCAAGGGTTACGTATACCTTAATACCTTATTGAAGAGAAAATGCAGTAGCGTTGCTGACATCCTCCGACGCCGACTACGTTTATTATTTAATTTTATGAATTAAAAATAAAGAGTTAATAAAAGTACTTTTAATGGTATCAACTCTGTAACAATCGCTAAGGAAAGGTAAGCAAAACGCAAATAGATACAAAAATACAATATATCCATAAAAACCAGTTCTTTGTTTAAGATTCAAGGGTCCACATAAAATGTGGTCAAATGGAGCAATAAAATGAGATGTTTATTTTACCTGACACAGCTTTTGTTTCACGTTCATTTAAAAAACACTGTTCTTTTTGCCGCACGTCAAAATTGATACCAATTACCGTGAGGGCTCACGGTGTCTTGCATAAAGAAATGAAGGGTTTTACGAACTAACACTTAATAATATCGTTTGAAATTTCGAACAATACGTGACTGAGAGAGGCAAAAGCAAAATTTGTATTCAAAAAAAGAGCGTTGTGTTCTTAAAGTCGCATTCCGGAGAATAATTCGAAATTGACGCACCAGCCTTAAGGCTGCGAATGCATTAACGAACTACACCTCCTTTGATATGAGGCGTATTATTTTTAACCTTTTTTTCTTTTTTTTTCCCTTTGTATGACGGTACTGGTAGCTCCCCGAGTCGCCCGGAGCAAATCGCGGTTTATTACCCACCGCCCGGTAATTTATTATTGCATTTTTTGTATTATCAATAGCCCATGGTCTTATACTTTTTTCGGTATTAAAATGGCTATTGTTTATGAAAGATCGCCAGGAGATCCTATCTGCGGTGGGTATTTTCTTGCTCGAGATTTTTAAACATCAAAAACATGGCTCCCATAACATCTTATGGATTCCGATAGCACATAATTATTGTCAAACATTGAAAACATCAAAGAATTTAAATATTAGAATCCGTGTTATTTTTTTAATTGTCTTGCCTTTCGAAGCCCTTGTTATTTAAAGCTTTGAGAGCTCTTGTGAAATGAGTGCTTATCAATCTGGGACGCTAAAAATAATATAGCCATAAAACGGTAATGACTCGCCGTCAATTTGCCAGCGGCGGGAACAAATGAAAAAGAAACAGGCCGAATACGTAACGAATTGTTCCCCGCCGCCATATTTGGCAGCCGCGGAGGCCACGACGAAAGAGGTCCGACTCCCGACTACTGGTCTTCACTTAGTGACAAACCGCTTGCATGACTTAACTGGCCCAATTTGGGTTTCGGGCCGGGGAAAAAATAAGGGCCCGCGGAAATCGGCGGCCATTGTCCGTTCCAAATTCAAAATCAGGAAGACGTGAGGGTAAATGGCGCAAGTTTTCGAAACAGGAACGTCGAGTTTTAAAAAAGGATCGGTTAAACGGAGGCCGTTCGCAGGTAATCACAGGCGACGTGCACCGAACCTAAAGGCCAGGTTACACCGTCTATTTCGACGTACTACCGAATATTTTCGTCACCGTTTATACACAAAGATATATTTTTAAATCCCATTACAAACATGACACTAGAACATAAATGTTCTAAAGGCTGTATCTTCTAGGTATAAGTAGATTCAAATAAAGAATCAGTAAAAAAAAACTCACTTACGACTTCTTCCAGACCTCTATTATTTATTACTTTACGTAGACAGAATGCGAAATCATCAATTATCATCTTAAGATTATTAATAAATCTAATACAACATAAAAATGAATGAATTTTGTACGCAACGCAATTGCGGATTTCCTTCCAGTTATATTGCAAGATTTATTTATTTTTCTCAACATCTGAATGTCAGCCACAATATTTACTTTGTAATTATTGTTTCAGTGGTTTCACTACCGATTACAAATATTTATACGAAAAACGAGCGTGCCACTAATGTAAACAAGTTACCTAATTCGGTCATAAACTTGTTAACTACTTTTTGTATTACAGCAGGCGGTAAGTACGCGTAAAAAAAGAACTTTTATAGTATAAATAATGTATTTAAGAACTTAACAACAATAAAATGCAGCATAAAAGTCCAGTTAAGAGGTTATTTTATAGTCGTAATTGCAACATATTAGCCATTTCAAATTGTCAATGACAAGTAGTCTCATATAATTACATATATAATTACAATGATCACATAAAACTATTAACAGTACACACGTGTACGCACAGACACACATCTATACATACAGCAATATTCATTAATTAATTAGTATAAATAATTGTTAAATGAAACGATTTTACGGATTTTATCGCGTTCTATTTCGGTCGAAAATGTCTGTCCCATAACGAGAAATCAATAGTATTTATTAATCATTAATTATTACAAATAATAAGTAATAAATAAATATTTTAAGACACATTTTTACACAACGTTCTCTAGTCCTAAACTAAGCAACGTACGTTGTACTGGATAGCTGGATAACATACTTAGACTTACTTTTCTTTTGTAAATAAATAAATATTATACATATATAAACAACCAAACACTAAAAAAATGTTCATCACACTATATTATTTCAGTAGTGGGCATCGCACACAGGCGCAGGAGGCAGGTACACCACCTACTACGCCATTCGGGTCGTTATGGATGATTTTTTTGTCTTTTTTTAAAAACATTGCCCTTCTTTAGGAAACACCCTGTGTTGTAAGGACGTTTTACAAACATAAATTTCACGCGGACAAACACCCAGAAGCGAAACAGCTATCTGTGAATAATACGCACACGTGCATTTGCGCGTGACTGTACACGCGCCCTTACATCGCGTGCATTAAGTTACAGGTGCGCTGCCCGGAGCGACGCCCCCGCGCTTCATTCATTGTTATTTGCGGCCCCGCTTGCTCGGCACAGCAACAGTGTCGATCCCGCCGGTTCAACGGCAGATAAATAATTGGCTGAGACGCACTCCAAGACTACGCTAGGCCCAATATTAATTATATCACAACGTGAATTGCTAGAGCTCGCATTCTGTGAGTACGGTCCGGTAGATGCGTGGGTGCAGCTAAAAGCGCTTCACTGATAGCCAATTCAGCTAAACTTATATCCTTGTAAAAACCTTAGGGTTTCAATTAAGCGAGGTCTTTTGACAGACAGAAATGTGACCATTGTCATAAATTGCAACTCGCGAAGTTATCTCAACTTGAGGTCGTATATGACTTATCTATAATGACATGGCAACCTCTGTTTCTGTATGAGGTAAATGCTTTTTGTATGATAAACCTCTTTAAACAAGGAAAGTATTTGAGTAATCACGGCAACAGATCACTATTTATTATATTTGTGGCTAAATAAAAAAATTAAATTAAATTTGTGGATATCATTTCATTTCGCATTCTAGACCATAACTGTCAAGACTCAAGGGTTCACTAGTATTCTTGTAAATTAATTCAAAAAGAAAATATATCATGCTATAGACTAAACATTTCTACATCGAGTCAAATGATAAATAAGAAAAAAGAAACAAAGCAAACAATTTTGATCAAATGGATTAATCTTCTCATTAAAAAAAAATAAAGTGTTTTATATAGAACAACTAATTATACATTGAATAACAGCGACAAGTCTCGCTACAAATCAGACAGTGTCACGGCTGGAGAGGAAACTATTAGTAACATAAATGAAATAATTACTACGTCAACTCTCGCGTCGGATGCGGTGGGAATACCGACGATCAGTCATGTCCGTAGTGGTCCGATTAAGTCGCTGCCTGTAGATATACTCCGAAAACGAAAAACGACAAAACTTTCACCCTTTCGACCGATGTCACTTCGGAGTAAATTCAACGATATGCAAGTACTTACAAAAACGTTATGAACCTTTAACTCTCATTTTTTAACGGTCCCACATTCAAATAACTCCACAAAACAGTCGTGCATGATACAAAATGCATGAAAAACGCAATGTTATTCAATGTTTTTCGCCATTTTTCGGCCGTGAAAGTGCACCGAGCGAGTTTTGACGTTTCTCGTTTTTCGGATTACCCCCACCAAATCGGGCGGTTATCAGTCCGCACGTGTTCTTGTTATGGACATATTGCAGTAGTCTGTATCGATTAACACCCTCGATTTTTAAAACTCCCTATTGGCGTAGTGGGTAGTAAACCAGCCTCTTGCGCCAGAGGGTGTGGGTTTGATTGTGTCTAGGTGTTAATAAAAATATGTATATGTATTTATTTACAAAAGTGTGCTTAAGTATGTTTATCAGTTATCTAGCACCCATAATACAAGCGTCGCTTAGTTTAGGACTAGAGAACGTTGTGTAAAAATGTGTCCCAAAATATTTATTTAATAATTTCTTATTATTTAAATGCTATCCAATCTTCAACAAACAGAACCGGTTATTTGTGTGAGTAATTCCTGCTTTTAAGAAATCTGTAAGGCGTAGAACTCACCGAAGATTGCCACTAGGTTTCAAACCTACTTACCTGAACCAACCTATCTAAAACGTTCACTTAATTTATTCCGTCTTTTTAATTTATTACGTTTATTAGATAGTCTAAAATTTAAATTTTCAATGAATGTGATGCTAATTTGTATCATAAATAACGATAATTTTGTGCGTACTTTCAACGTGTATAATATGTTTTATAAAATAAAATGAAATAACTAT